CCAGTGGGATGCAAGTCAAACAACAACAACCACAAGACAACTTAGATTAAAGCCATCATTCTAACTCTGTACTACAACAAACAAACATGGCCAAACCAAAAAACTTTTCGAAATCCCCAAAATAAAGCCATAAGCAATGTAACAGTGATCATAGGAACTGTGACCGAAATTTCACAATAAACGACATAAACAACATGTATCACCAAACCCTGTAGCCATAGCTTGCTGCATGAGTTACTCCACAACAGCAGGAGCATCTGTAGGAGTATAAAAAATATTCAAATGCACCTTTAAAGATCAGCACACTAAATCAAAGCACAAGATCATACGAATGCGCGGTCGAAACTTGTTTATCTCGAATCGTCCGCGATGTTCTGCACGGCTCGAGGTAATTGATTGCCACGTCAACTTTCGTAATGAAATTGAAGTGGGGCCCGCGCCATAAACTGCGGCAGTAACGACCCTCTTCGTCTGCCAGCTCGGTGATTTATGGACTTTAGTTGGGCATGGATGGGCATTGCTCTCGCACACACAAACTTACATTGCATAACACGTGTACTCGGCTTTCTGGCCTCGCCACCCGCTTGTGCACCAGACTGTGTATGAGGCTCGATCTTTGTCTTTCTATCGTGCAGGGAATGATTACGCGGTAGTTGATGCGCTGCATGATAATTCCGGCGACCTGAGTTGTGATTCCCGATCATGGGTAACGTCAGTGACTGGCCTTGATTGAGAATGTTACAATCAATTTGCCAACTCCAACCCGCAACGTGGTGAAATATGGTCAAACAAGCCACATGACCGACATGGCATGTGAAGTCCTTGAGCAATGGATTGGCAAAGGGCTTTAAGATAACAAACTACGTGATAAATACTTACATACATGTAAAGTAGTACCAAATATATGGGGCAGGCAGTTGCCATGTTAAGACGTAACAGGTGACGTTAAGGGAGGTGGTGTTTCTGTGGTTTGTGTTTGTGCTCCCACCTTGAATGCGGTCATTTTGGTTTTCAAAGCATCAAAAGTGCGTTCCGCTCACGCCAGGAGGGAGCGGTGCTCATCTTCTGTTTTGCAGCCCCCAGCCAGATGTGGAAATTCTACATTCCTATAGCAGCAGCCAGTCTGCGCATAGGAGAGGGGGGGGCAATCATTATTGATTTCCATCAAAATGGTGCTCACTGATCCTGTTTGCTTAACTGGCTGTTCGACACCACACACACAGGGATTTTAAAGTGCACTTTCTAAGTGCGAGGCACCCCACCATGTAACCACCCCACCACCCAGCCAAATATTTAAAGTTTTTCCTGCAGCAAAAAACGCATTGATGCACTCTGTCATACATGTTTGGGCTTTAAAACTTGGTCTGCTTAAAACCTCTACATGGACTTCTTGGTATTTAAGTTGGCAGAACCATGGAATACCCGTTTGCCCGTGCCAGTGGTCGAGTCGTACATTCCTTGTAGTTGCTCTGTAAACGGTTGCCATAAAAACTCATTCAGACCAAGGCACCAGCCTTGAAAAATATTTATTTTACATTATACTTTGACGGAATGATGCCAGCGATGAATACCATAAGTCATCAATATTAACTATTACTACCCTTTGTCAATCCCCTGCATAATGAAGTCCTTTCCACGCCGTATGGGTCATGGTGGTTGTTGCCGGTCAGTGTGGTTTTTGGTGAAGCAGGAAGAGGGCCCAGTACCAGCTCAGGTATAAAACTCCACCGAAGTTAGCCACGGGTGGCAGTCGGATTTATTTTCCAGTTTAGGAACTACTGGGCCTCCACCACTCTTCCTCCTGGCCGTGAAAATAATGGATGCGTAAACACAATGTGCAAAGAGAGGTAGCATTCTGGATACCAATGACAATAACAGATCATTAGCAAGAAGCCTTGTCATTTCAAATATATCCGATACGATACATGGCTTTGGAATCTCACGATCCTTGGTGGGCCTTCGCATTTGTGCTGTACTACCGTTCTGATATACTCTTTGGTTTTTTCAGTAAAGTCACGTAGGTAAAAAAGAGAAAATAAATTAAATCACGACGTTTCGGAAGCAACACAGGCAACCGTCATCAGGTGTTGACTGCTCCAGCAAAATTACCGAGTTGACGATGCATGAAGTCTGTGTTTGGATACTTTGAAGGGTCACGTTCAAGGACTCCCCTGCGCCATCAGGAGCCGCAAAAATGAAATGCTCGGAGTGATTGAGCACGGTCACTGTAATCACTGTAATGATAAGGTTGGGGTGTCACTCTGGACGGTATCGCGGTGAATGCTGAGGATAAATTGTGCTTGGAGGTACAAATCTGCCCTAAATCTCGCTTGCTGGCGGGAGTGAGGCGCGAGGGGGTGTGTTGGGGGGGGGGGTGATGCTCGGGTTTGCGTTGTGCGCCGACTGGTTGCGGTGGTGCCGTGTTCACGGCGAGTGCGGCGAGAGATTCTCCCTCCAGCACCAGAAGCCGTGTGCGGCCCTCACCTTGTCGATGCGCACTGAGTCGACCTGGTACTATACGACCCCCCCGCGGAATGATGTTAATTGCCTCAATTCGGGGGCCCGCGACTCGATTCAACCATTTGAGTATTTTTTTTGGCTCAATTTTAGCATCGTCTTAGTTTTGGTTTTTCTCTACGTGTCTTGTATGTATAGGTTTGTTTGCTCCATTGGGTAAATTTGACAGAAGCATATTGTGTGCATATCATTTGCATGACATGTAATATTCTTAAACACGTGGTATGTTTTCAATGGCCATAGGAATGGATTTTGATCATTGTGTGCTGAGCACTAGTTTGTGTGTCCTGTGTATTTGACATGAGTGTCAGGCTCTGGTAATGGGAAATAATATTTTATAGATATCATCAAGAGAGCCATAATATTGCGTGAGCGACATCACTACATTGACGATGTATTAGAACGTATGGTCTTGAAGGCACAGTGATGCAATTATATTTCTATAATGACACTCTGACAGTAAAGCCTTGTGTCACATTCGTACAGCTTCATGCTCATGTTGGTAGCCATCTGGGACACACTTGCTAGGCACATGTCTTCCACGATAAAGCGTTTTGTTCTTTGGGTTGCATCTTAATACACCAGTGCCTGCCATTGACCAGGCCATGAGTTGTGGCCTCACATACAGATGCATGTCGGTTCTCACCGTTAGGCCAAGCCAAATTAATACAGCGTGATGCACTTCTAGCTCTCAGTTCCAAATAAATACTTCTTCATTTCGCAACATAATACTATCTTGATTTGATGCTTTCGTGACTGCAGGAATCCATACTCTATGGTTTTTTCGGTGAAGTCACATAGATATAAAATAAAACACGACGTTTCAAGCGCAATACTAGTAGCAAACATGGAATGGGATTGGGGAGAAAAACCCAAAGGAAATTTTTTTTTCATGGCTTTGGTACGATCATTTGTGGCCAGGCGACAATCCTCATCTTGCTGCTGTGGAGTTGAGTTTATTTTTAAACAGTTTGCAGTTGAGAAGGTTAAGTGTTTTGCAGTGAGCGAAAAACACCGGCCAAAAGTTCACTCAAAAGGCTTGCTCACTCGCTCGCTTGCTCCCACCCGACTGCCTTCTCTTTCACATGGCTGGCTGAGGAAGCTGTTAAGCATTCTCTTGGGAGATGGCCGGGTGGCTCAGCGGCCAGTGCTGAGTGCAGCCACCACTGAGACCAGGGTTTGAATCTGGGTTTCAGTCACCCTTGATTAAAGTGTATTGATTCCATGGTCTCAGTCCATTAACTAATGACCACGTGCACAAAAAAGCACATCTTATTTGATTCCGTCGTTCACTTAATTTGTCTTATTCCGGCTTTGAGAATTAATTTGTTCCGTTTGATTGACACGGCAGGACCAATCGTTTTAGGGCATCGAAAGGTGTGCCCTGAGTGTGGATGAAGAGTTCTATTGAAGTGACTTCAGAAATAGTTGTGTGACACTGGCTTCTGGGGTCACTCACATGGCGGTACACCGCTAGCTGAGAGAGTGCAAGTGGAACATCATTTGTTGGCGGAATAAAACGTTTCTCTGGCCTTGGGAATTTTCCCGACATTTTTTTTTTGCAGCGCGGTGCTCAGTCGGTCGTACTTTAAAGGAACAATAAATCTCCTCGCGACGCCGTCGCCGCGTCAAGGCAAGGCTTGTACCAGCCATCCCGGGCGTCGTGGTGGCGGCAGCCGCCGGCACGCTTCATCGGCCGCGAGAGGCGCTGGCGTCGCCGAGTAATCATCGCACGTGAAATAGTCGCGGCTATTTTATATTTGTTTTCGAGGTGTGATTTAAAACACCGGAACGCCAATCCCCAGGACCCGCTTGTAAATGAAACGACAAAAGGAGGGAGATTGAATTTGAAGGAAAGGTTTTTTTTCTTACTCCCTACCTCTTAAAGCGCTTATGGAAAAAAACATCACGTGCCCGCCCAAAGCTACATCCAAAAAAACATTGCGTTTGGGCCAGGGCCCCGCAAGGGAGCATCATTGGCAGATTGAGTCCAAAGCTACCCATGTCGTAACTCACCCCCCCCCCCCCCCTTCTTCGCGATAACGTGCATGATGGTTAGTCCAACGTGCTGCCGCCGTCACAGCTGACACTGAGCTCCTCATTAGGGTGCCTTCCTTGACTGGACTTGATTGACACTGGCCTCAAACATAAAATGATCCCAGGCCTTGACCTCTGCATCCCCTTGAATTGAAGGCTCAATGCAGGGCAGTTGTGTTGTGCTTGGACCACTGTACTGCATTTTAGCTGGTCCAGGTTTGATTTCTGGCTAAGATGTACAAACCGGTATCAATTGGTGTCTGGACCTCTCCCGAGCCTCTGCTAGGTCGACTCGCCCTTAAATGCGTGTGAGCGTCAAGGCTGGGAAAACAGGTGGCCAGATGTGGTTCTGGCGTTAAGAGGTACTCCCTTACAGCATACATTGTAATTCAATTTCTTGTACAATTCTAAATGTTGATTGTTTGTCTTCTTGTGTGTGTTTGCAGTGCATTGCAACAGGCGTGTTTGCCATCCTTCTCTCCAAGAACCTACAGAGACCTTGCTTTGTAAGTAAATAAGTAACAGAATTGTCACTTACAATGTGTACTTGTACGGCTTTTTTGTCAATCCACTGCAGGATGATGGCTTCCCCACCCTGTGGGCCATGGGGATTATTCGATCATTGTTATACTTCTCTACGCTGGTTAGTGTAGCTTCGTGGCGACAGGGAGCATAGACATGTTGGCATAGAAGTACAGTACAACAGTCGATTCTGCTCCCAAACATAGTCCCGCAGCCCTATCATAACCAGCTTATACGGTACATGCTGGTCACCCATCCGAGAGCTGTCCAGGCTCAAGCCTGCTTAGCATCAGATATCTGTTGAGATAGTAAACCAATTGCAGGTGACTTGCAGATAATTTAGTACTCGGAACAGCAATGTGTTGATGGGCCACATCTTGATTCGTAAGACTGAGTTGAGCTGATACTCCTTAATGGTGTCTTGTCTTCTTGGTTCTTTCTTTCTTGGTTCTTTCGGTAAAGTCACGTGACTTTACCGAAAGAACCAAGAAGATGAATCCCTGCAGTCACGAAAGCTTTAAATCGAAATTTGGTTTGTCTTGTGTTAAATAAACAAACCCTCCTGCCACTGCATTGATTTGAGAAAGCAAATCGATCAATAGATTAAACTTATTTGAATTTCTGTGATTAAATAGACCCACTTGGTAATTTTTTAATGTTATTTTGTTATCACCCTTAATTGTAATCATAATCATTTTTAAATCCTTTATATTAAGTTCACTTGCTTGCTTGCGCGCTTACGACCGTGCAAATCTTTCGGTCGTTTTTTAACCCACTTCCCGTGATCCAATCGAGCTGACATTTTCCACACAGATTCGTTGTGCTTGACAATTAATTTTCGTGAAATTTTTTTTCAAAATTTTTACACTTTTTAGGGAAAAAAAATGATATTTAATTACCAATTGCTTAATGGTGGCAGACAATCATCTGACCCATAGGTGGCAGCCATCTCAAGCCAGAGGACGAGAGGACTCTAGCCGCCACGCATATAAAGGATTTATAGTGAAAAACTTTGTTTTTACAGGTTAATTTTTTAAATCTAATATTAATAATTTTTGTTTACAAGTATCAATACTTACATTTTTCTAAATCATATTCCAAGCTGTATTTTAAACAAAGGAGGAAATATAATTGTTTTAGACCAGTTCATAATTTTTATTGCTCAGATAATTAACAACTGAGTGGCTCGGATGTGTTACACACACCCACACACACCCATACACACGTACACGTGCAGTAGATTCACTGGCTAGCCACTGCATAAAGGATGCTGCCATTATGCTTGCCATCCTAATGTGCTAATTACGCAGAAACTGCATAACATTGGCAATCTTTCCCAAAAACTAGCCACTGGTATCGGTAAACTTGTGCGGTAAGTTTAATCGTAATAGGTTAAGGGGTTTCACAGTTCTAATACTTAGCCGGTCAATGGGGTTGTTTAGCCATACTTCACCACACTTGTCAGTGCGGGATGGGGAAGGAAGGTCCCATGACCGGAACAGATATCACTCGCCGCTGATGTTAGCTGTGGCTGGGAATTTAACTCGAGTCACCAGGTTTATATCACAGTGGTACGAATTGCACACATGTGTGCGGCCCCAATGTCCCCGGAAAGCACACCTCACACCATACTGTGCTCCCACCCAAAATTACACTGCCACACTACATCCCACATATCAGCAGTGAAAATGAAATCTGTGACCCTGAGCAACACTGTATATCTGCTTGCCTAATTTGATCCCTCACTGTGTCGGCCCGGTGCAAGGGCAGGCAGAAACGATGTCTTGGGGAATGAGCCACAGTCTGGCTTTCGCCTCTTCAACCTCTCCCTCTTCCTCACCCCCACCCCCTCCATGCTTTCTGTCCTTGGATACCCCCTTGAATTTGTCTCACCTGCAGTGACTGGGACCGGGGACAAGGGAGGCAGCACTTGACTTTCTTTTTTTGTAAGGAATGATTTTGGCAGCGAAGGCACGAGGCGAATGAGCGGCCTCCCCCTGGGACTGTCACGGCAAGCGGGACCGCCCGCGTAGTCGTGGCATCGGCTAACGACCCCGGAGGGTGACACCGCATGGCCATTTCAATAGGGGTCGCTTCTGTACACAAGGAAAAAATGGCATTGCATTTGTGTAGCGTATTGCAACGTCAAGACCACATGAAGTGAGGACAAATAATGTATAGTTCCTATAAAACGGCAATTAAGAGAGTGAAATTGTTTACAAAAAACACGCTTTGCTGCAACATAAAACGTTATTGAAATCGATTTTTAAAAAATGAGTTGGGCGTGATTTGAGAATAAAGGGATGGTGAATGGGTGACTTGCTGAGGACGGTGATGAGTTTCCAAGGCCTGAAGCGTAATATTAAAAGGTTCTGTCACTCTCCGTGCGTGCTGCGAATGGACAGAGCCAAAATGTTCCTGTGCCATGTGAAAGGCGTGAACGAACCGAGACGAGCACACCGCAGTTCAGTCGGCCAAGAGAGATCGAGTCCATGTAGAGTCTTCTTATGAGCTTAAAGTAGAACCATGATGTCTACTCGGAATAAATTGATATGCCTCTCTCATCCAGCACCAGGTGGTCTTTCTTCATGCGCTGTACACAGAGTTCTCAGTCGTTGGTCGTTTATATGCTAATTGTTAGCCCTGAGAGCTAAGGTTGGCTGATTCACGTGAAAATCCACATTTGTTATATCATGGGTGGGGGGCGTGGGTGCAATTATTGGTGACTGGGACAAGACCATTAAAAACATAACACAACTTCTGGTTTGACCATGGGTGGCGAAACCCAGATCTGAACCCAGGATGTTAGCGGTACGGCCTCGGTGCAGTACTGACAACCATTATGAGTTCATTAGGATATTCGTTCATAAAATGTTTCTGTTTAACCGTTGTTTTTATAATTAAAACACAAAATGGTTCGGAACCAACAACAGAGATTAGCGCTGCCTTATTACTCAATTCAGCACAGAGACTCTTAATCTCAAGACCATTTCGGGAAAGATCCGGTGTGGGATGTTTGGCCAATTTCTCGTTGAGCATTTTAAGAAGATGGCCTCCCCTCGCCTCGCATTCCCTGTTCCTAGATTACATATCCATTCCCCTTCTCCCTTCCCCACCCCACTCCTGTGTCCATTACCATGGCAACAATCAGACCTTCCTGATGTGGGTATGTTCAATGGGTTGCTTATGCCGTCCGACATTTGCACCACATGCGTGGTGTTTGCTGCATTGTGATGAATGTGTGGGAGTGTGTGTGTGTGTGTCTTTGTCATGAGGAGCATTTGTGAAGTGGTTCGCGCAATGCGCTACGAATCTGTTTGATTCCTGGCCAATCGCTAACATCAGTGGCAACCGATATCACAACCTCTCATGCACCTTCCTTAGGTTGACTCAGCCAAACATAAACACACGTGATTGTGTGTGATCATCTGCACCATGGTTTTGGTCACACGACCCCCTCCCCTCATGTAGGCCTCAGTAGATCCTAGCTAAAAGCATTTAAAAGCTAAAAGTACAATGGTCGTTAAAGTTACACGTGGGATATTTGTAGTTTTCTGTGTTTGTATGTGTGCGATTTTATAAAGGGGGTGCGTTGGAGCATATTTGTCAGTCAATCTGGTAATCTAGGCTTGATTCCTGTCCCCCTGTCCTCTGCTGTCCACGATGGCCATCACTCGTAGCAAATCGGTTTCTGAATCGGATCAGCCCGGCATTAAATAAGTACCTGGTGAAGTGCGGTGTCAACATCAGTCACTGTGGAGTGGGGAGACGAAGGTGGCTGAGCATACATCATGTGGCCTCGCATCACTGCATCACTTGCACGCCATGCCTGCCTTGCTGGGTAGGGATAGAACGACTCGCCCACCCCCTCCGCAGTTTGAGCAAGCGCAATTATTCAGGGTCCCGATTCGGTTCACATTTTTATGATTGTTCTTCCTCACCGGTTCACGTTGGCTCCCCACTGCTGCTGGCTATGCAATGATTCACCCCGAGCGAATTGATGAATTCTCAAATACCAGCCTTTCTTTGAATCATGCATGTAGCCTGTTTTCTAAACTTATTGTCACTGTCTCAGTTGTAATAAAAACAAGAGTTGGTCTTGTTTATAAAATGTTGTTTGCTGCATTACCCCGGGCATAACATTTGCGTAGTGTGTAGTTTGCATAAAACGTAAATAATGAAATACAACCCACACCATTTGGTGCATGTTTCTCGAACGTAAGAATATAGATTGCGCGACGACGTTACGGTTTGTCAGGTGCCCGTTGACTGCAGAGTTTTCGTGAAACGCAACCCAAATATGATGCAACGTAACTCATTGTTTTGTCGTACAAAATTGGACGCGTCCACGACAACCAAGAAGTGGTCAGCGTAGCTGCAGGGACAAAAAACGGAGATGCCGAGGGACGATAGGGCACTCTCTGCTTGACATCTGACGCAAGCCGAACCTCGTTCCGTCAATTCCTCGCTACGCTATCCTGAAGCAGAAGATTGGTGCTGGACACAACCACATGTTGGCAAATGTGATTTGTAACTTTGATCCTTACCTGTGTATCGATCATTCAATTTTAATGTGCAATTTTATTGAAGGACTCTGGGATTGTTCTTCTTGTTCTGCTGCCTTGCCCAAGCTTGTATTTAGCGTTGAAAAATCTGCAGAAATGTACATGATTGTGCAATGTTTTCTTATTCAGTGACTTGCTTGCCTTTTCTGTATTTTGCATTCCTATCGTTTTTTGTATTGTTTGTTGTAACTTGCCGACCCGCCCCCAACTGGGACATCTGTGAAAAGAGCTTCATAGCTCATTGGATTCCTCCTCCAGTCTAAATAAACACTCTGATTCTGTCTCCTCACTTGCCGTGGCAGCAAACGGGTCTTTTGGTGACGTCCTCGCTCTGCTGCCTGCTGACGGCGCTGTGCTGGGTGACGCTTGGCCTGGCCGTGGTGCTCACCGTCAAGAGCAACGGCCGCAACCTGGAGCAGGAGTGCATGGAGCCTCAGGAGGTGGCTCGACACCGCTCGTCGGGGCAGTCTGTCACGCAGATACCCTGCGCCAGTGACCCCTCCCGCCTCTACGTGAGTCCGCCCCCACTTACCAGCCTTGGGCGCCGCGGTAGTGAGATGGTATCTACCTGGCCTGGTGTACATGTGGTCGTGGGTTCAATCCCAACCCTGACGATGCCTGTATTTTTGGAATTTGCATGTATCTCTCCCCGCGGTCGTGTGGATTTCTCCCCGGGTCCTTCGGTTTTTCCCTCCACATTTTAGAAACGTGCGTTTTGAGTATTTGGCTCCTATACATTTTGTACTTCGTATGGCTATAATTTGTGGAAAGGTTGCTTCTGAGCACGAGCTGTATAGCTCAGTGGGCCTTACCTATAAATAAATAGAAATATTAAAAAAACCTTGCCAGCATCGACCAACGCTGTCGCCACGTTGCCACGGACATTTGCCATAGCTGACCCGAGCCGTGCCTTGCACGTTCCACTAATGACCCGGTGCTGTGCCGCTCCATGCACCCGGCCCCTCCAAAGCCATCCGCCCCTGCCCGCTGGAGGAAAATAATCGTAATTATTTTAAAGGGTTAACATATCCTTGGGTTATGTTAAGCTGTGCCAAGCCAAAATCTCATACTTTAATTATCACCACAGCCATGTGGTCTTTTTTTTTTTAGACAAAAGTACAGCCACGAAGTTGACTCAAGCAGGAGACGCCTTTGACCACAGCGTCTCTTCAGCATTTAGGCCTTGACATCACGACCCTTAAAGAGCGGCGATCCACTCTCAACGGCGCCCGAACATCTCATGGTAGATGCGGTCACCTCCACACCAGGCACCTACAATTAGAAACCTGGATTCACATTGAGCCAGGCCTGGTGGTGGTGCACATCTAATCCAGTGCTTTGTAAGGGAAGGGGTTAATTAAATACACGCATTTATTTTTGTTACTAAAAATCCCTATTGGGCTGCAATGTGGGCAGGAGATGGCAATAGAGTAAGTTTATGAACCTATCTGTGAGCCGATTTGCTCGTTGTATGTGGGGCTTATCTGAGAACTCCTTATTTACTCCCACGTACTGAGGACTCCTAAAATGCTGTTGGTCAAACATCTGAGGGCGGCAGGACCCTCTTGAAAATGAGCTTGAAAAATCTAGTGAGGATTTCCTGGACGTATAAATAACTTTTTTCTCTTAGTCTTGTCGCCATGGTGTAATGGCTAGAACACTGGACTTGCAATCCAGAGGCACCAGTTACATTCAGTTTACACAATGTGGCCAATTTCTTAAATTCTCCTGCGTCGTTCCGCCCAGCAGTATAAATGGGTACAACATCATCTGTTCGAACGGCAGGTCAAGTGTATTTTATATAACTAGGTGAGATCACAAGAGACCCGGGGTAGTCTAATTTGCAACATGGACCCGGGCCATTTTTGCAGGTCACATGTGGGTTCTTCTAAGACGTTTGATCAGTGTGGAAAAGGAAGCCAAATCTACTCTTGAGGGGCTGGCTAGAGTTCCCACTCAGTCGCGTGAGCAAGCAATGGCAGGGCTACACCTTTACCTTTTGAAAAATAATTTCAAATTTACATCCATGATAACAAAGATTGAATAGATGTCAAAACGCAGCTGGTAGACACTCTGCCGGATGGAATGGCCATTTTGTGTTCCACAGGGGGGGGAGGGTGGTGGTGTGTGTTTGGGAGCGCGTGTTGAATGGCCTTTGTGAGCCTAAGTGTGCCAGCCTGAAATCCCGGCGCGTGTGCAGGAACGCGTGCTAAGAGCTTACGTTAACAAAAAAATCTCGACAACAACTGTCCCTAATGCAAATACAGTTACCCAAGTCTGCCTCCAAAGAGCGATTATGAAATATCAACTCACTCTCGTCCACTCGAATAAGAGACGTTCCCAGTCGGTTGGCAGGAAGCCATTGTAACAGCGACACGGCACAGGAACTGGCAGCAGGCAGACGGACGCCATCCGCTCCAAATCAAATGAATCGTCGTGATTTGTACAAACATTGCGGTCCCACTCATCTCCACGAAGCTGGCCAGGTGGCCTGGCAGTCGGGCCAGCAGCCCGCAGGCGGTAGAGCCAGCAGCCCGCAGGCGGTAGAGCCAGCAGCCCGCAGGCGGTAGAGCCAGCAGCCCGCAGGCGGTAGAGCCAGCAGCCCGCAGGCGGTAGAGCCAGCAGCCTGCAGGCGGTAGAGCCAGCAGCCTGCAGGCGGTAGAGCCAGCAGCCTGCAGGCGGTAGTCTGCGAGTTAAAATCCTTGTTTTGGGGTGCGTTGCCTCAGCCCACCATCCCTCCAGGGTAATAATATCAGCACTTCTTTGTGGGAAATTCAACAGTAGTTGTTCTTTGGATACAGTGGCCCTTGCCATAGAATTGTGGAATTTCCACCGCTGGCTCAGGGCTGTAAACAGGGGATGGGCCACCACCTTAATGCTCATTTGACCCGGAAATCACTTTGCCATCTCCATCGGTGGTCGTGAAGGAAAATTATCCAAAAATAAACTGCTCTTGAAGCGAACCACCTCGGCCACGTCTGGGCTGTCCAGCGTGAATATGAAACTTTGTTAATAAGGAAAAAAATTCCTTAAATGGCATGGCCAGGCATGTCATGATGCCACTTGCGGTGTCAATGACATGTTTGTATTTTGTTAAATATTAATATTATAACATCAGTGGAATGATGTCTTAGTCATCGTCATCATTAGCTATGATCAATCCACTGCTGGATGAAGTATGACAAGAGTGCCTGACCATAATTTTTATTTTTTGTTCTCCTGAATGAATCTTCAAACCCATGTCTGACTGCCTGGGACACACAAACAGCCTAGTTGGTTAGGGGCAGGATGAGAGGTGTTTTTCAGCTGGATTCTTCAAACAACAACAATAAACTGTTGACTTCTCACAAAGTGTTCCTTATTTATGTTGATATTTGGCTAAGTTTATCACCAATCACGATTTGATTTTGCTCTTTCGATTGTGAGTCATTCTCTCAGACTAGAGCACCACCAATTGCATTTACCACCCATTACTCTACGGAGCTGTTAAAGAGTGACGCCCTGAATTCTTCCTGCATTTCTATCACGACACAACTTGTCCCCTCCACGCACACACACTTTGCGAGTTGGTACACACCCCGCCTCCTCCCAGGCCCGTCGTCTGGCGCGTCCCAGTTGGCACCTGCACACGCACGGGTTGCGGAGTTTTCTGGGTAATAGAGATGTCAGCCCGTTAGGCAAGCTTCCGCGCGTGCGTACATTTGTATGCGCGCGTGAGCGTTATCACGCTCCACCAATGTGGCCATCCCTTGGACGCGCGACGCCTTCCCCCCTCCATCTGCCGGCTGCTCGACGTGCTACCTGGCGTCCGTAGCATGTTCGGCGGCCAGCAGGCCCGCTGCTCGCTGCGACCGGGAGCCTTAAATGGGGCGTGATTCATTGCCCCCGGGCAGGAGGGGAGGTGGCCCGTGTTCTGCTTTTTCGCCGTGACGTCGCTCACGAAGGAGCCGCTCTGGAGAGACGTGTTGCGTCTCGGCTCGCCCGCAGCGTTCACCTCGATTTGTAACACTCGTAGGGAATTTTATTGGAACTCGGGGCATGGTGGTGGTGGTGGTAGTGCTGCTGCACCACGCCTGTAATTACGCACTTTACGATGATATTTTTTGATGTAATTTCTTCATGGCACAAATAAGTGCGTACACTGAAATTGTGAACGTGCAAATACGATGCAAACATCATATTCATTTGATATACCGATGTTACATTAAGGTTAACGGAAGCTCACCAAGCTGTACAAACGGAATGGTAGAAATGGTGATATTCAGTGAGACGGCAAAACGAGACGAATCATGACCCCCCCCCCCCCCCCCCCAGTTGTGATATGTCATTGAATCGCTGGGGTGGGGGTCAACCATTACATGCCTACCCATAATCCAGTTCTGTGTGGATCACAAAGACGTATGTTGCTGTGAGACTACCAAACAGCTGTTCTGTGAGGTTGTCAAGACGTAGCAGGACAGCAAGTTTATAATTGACCTTGCATAAATATAACTCGGTTACGGATTCATTCAAAACTTAAGATCCTCCTAATCCTGCCCAGCTGCAATATGGCCGGAAGGTGGTTGTACAGCAAGTAGGTTCATAAACGTATATCTGCGTACACTGTGGAGTGTTATCCCCTATAGTGTGCATGGATTTTCTCCAGGCAGGCTGGTGTCCACCCACATGGTATTGTTATTGTAGCTTTCAGCCTGAAACTTTCCACTGTTGGGCATAGACCTCCCCAATTTTTCTCATTCTCTTCCATGTCTTCATTACTCTGTCGTTCGTTTCGCTATCTCTTCGCCTGAGTTATCTCCGATCAGAAGTTAATTTTGTCCATCTCCCGTCAGTCGAGATATTCAATAATACTCGAAATGGATTTGTTAAAATATTCTAAGCAGGAACCTTTTGAAATGGAGTCACGAGACTCATTTATTAACTAAAGGCTGTAATTGTGAAATCACTTTATCCTTCCTAAAACCCCAACATCTGTTTATGAATATTTTCCCTTTGCTTTCATAAGGTCACGCTCACATTTGGGGCTCCCCTCTGTACCCACACGCGTGTTGTACCTAACAAAAGCTTAAACTGAAACGGGGTATTAATAATATAAAGGGGTGTGAGTGGCTGTGTGTGTGCGCTCCGTGTGCCCATTTAGGGTGCCCAGGGTTGACTCCGAAACTGCTGCTCAGCTCTTTGTCTTTTCTTCCTGGCCATTTGCCAGCACCGCAGTGTTTTTGTTTTTATAACATATTCCCGTGTTTTTTTGTAACCACGGTCTCCCTAAAGGGATTACCTTCGAGAGAGAGAGAGGGCCCGGGGAGGGGTTTTTGTTATGCCGAGAGGCAGCGGTATTTTCTTCCGAATCGCCAGTTCCCACGAGAACGCCCATCGCTAATCCGACATCCGAGCAGTCCCCCCTACCCCCCCCCTCCTTTCACACTTGCTTTCCTTCCCACCCAAAGAGATCCGTTTCCAAGAAAACGTGACATTACACACTAAAGCGCTGGTAATGACAAGAATATTTATTTGCGCCCTTCTGTTGTATTCTTTTAGATGATGCTCTTTGAACGAGATGCACACACACACAACGGCTTCCCCTTTAGCTGTATCGACTGTTGGGGCAAGTGCTGTTAGCGAGCACCTATTGAGGTTGGCATGGCACATGAGGAGGAGGTGGTGGTGCCAGAACAGGACTGCCTTTGTCTCCTAATTGCCAATGCGGATGCTTACACTTTACGCATATTACCAAGCATTCGTTTAAGGCGAAGTTGACCTAGGGGAGGCATAAGACAGATTCATATTTCACTTGCTGCTGATGTGCATCGTGGTCGTGAATTTGCATCCAAGTCGCGGGTATAATAGTGCACGCCACAGACCACTACGCCATCACTCCCCACACAAACACTGGTCAGGAACAGTGCTCGGAATCTTAACCAGCATAATCATTATGAATGCAACTCCACTGCAATGCAAAGTGTCTGCTTAAAACGCTATATAAGCGAAGCATAATGTTGGTTCATGTAATAATGGCAACATAATGCAAGCATATGGTTCACAGCTATAATCTATGCAGCTGCTAAATGGGTTGGGTGAATTGCTTCCACCGCACCCACGTGGAGGTGGGGGTGTGGTGGCATGTCGTGTGGCACACCCGCTTCGAGGCGGGAGTGAGTGAATCACGCAGAATGCGTACGGTTCAAATGAACGACGGCCCCAAAGTGCCTCCTCTACACAGCGTACTTATGACTTTCCCTTCCATTACATCACACAACCTCTCCTTACAGCAATAACTCACTCCTGCCTTTTCAGTGTTTCACCGCTGTCATAATTGTCTCGTGTAATGTACCACCATTAGCGTCTCGCGATACATTTTGAATTATTTATCATTGTCGTTTACGAGGTGGGGGGGGGGGGATGGAGCGGTGTTGGGGGGGGGGGGAAGCGTCGAGGAAGGAGGGGAGTTTCTGAGAGATTTGCAAGCAAGAGACTTAGATCTGCTGATTTACAATAAATACACGTCAAACGGCTTGTTTTTAAGATGTAGGAAGCTCGAGTTGGCACCACAGTTATCCTGGGTTTGGATTTCGGCAGATGCCTGTGATTATTAACAGGGATTTTCAAGTGCGGTGAGTTGATGACCTCTTAGCCCTGTCACCAACCACTGCAAAAAACATAAAATTTGGTTTTGCGCATAATTTGTCTAAATTCCAACTCTGACATGTAAAAACATCAGTTTAGTTGTCTGAGGACAAACATTAATCTCTGTAGCACGGTGGGTGGGAATGTGTTGCCCCTTCAGTGTCGCCCAAGGATCTCTCGAAGGGATCTTCGAGGCAGTTGTGTCATCGGTATCCGCAGGCCGCCCTCTGACATGAAGGGTTGCACTGCGAGAGTTCCTCGAATGGATTCTTCATCTTGTGACACGTTGTAGCTGCGTCACCCCACGCTATGAATGCCCTGATAATGGCATTGTCTTTGTACTGTTCGCCCTGTTTGGCATTCTCTGGTGTGACTGGTGAGACGAGGCCCTAAAGAAGGCTGTCTCTGGTGAAGACCCATCCGTTTCAAAGACGATGCCTTTATTCTCAGAGCATGTTTTTTTTTTGCATTTGTGTGGTTAATGCAGACATTATTCCTTGCAAATAGTTTTTATTTGGTGTTTGAACATCTTGACACCGGTTTTATTGCCAGAAAGGGTGAAACCTATTCTTATTTTTTAATACTTTGATACAGCAAAAAAGGTCCCATGTTGATATGATGTTGTTGCGTCGTTTCATCTGCGATGGCGATGGTGTCGTCCCCCCCCCCCCCCGCCCTGTGCAGGACACCACGATGGCCCTGTGGTTGATAGAAGTACTGATGGCGCTGGTGGAGATGGGGCTGTCCATCCGTTGCATCATCGTGGCTGTGATCCTGCGTGGATGCGGGCCGTGCATGCACCCCGCGCCCTACGAGAACCACATGCAAAAGGTGGCGTAGGCAGAAACATTGACCATACCGGTCGTATGGGCCTCACCGCATGCACCGGCCACACCACCACCACTTCCATCTCACCATCTCTGCCAGCACAGACACAGATCCGTCATCCTTTGCGAGAAAACGCAAATTCACAAAACAAACAACTCTGGTCACCAGGTACGCAACGACGCATCGATTAATATCGATCGGTGTGGAGTCTCGCATTTCCACGACGCGCCCATCGGGTCGCGCGCATGTAATCGACCTGTTGACGACTTGCATACGTTGTGCGTGATTGCATCATTTAAATAACCCTGCAGCCAACTGAGGTGCTACATCAACTGCATGGAGACGAGTAACAAGTGGACACGTGCCCCTGATTTTGGAGCCCGTGCAGCGGCCGGCTAGATGCAGCTCTACTCGTGTGGCTCCTCGCCAGTGGTGGTCGCCTCTCTTTGATAGAGCCTCCATTGAACTGCTGGTTTTGAATCAGAATCTGAAACTTTATGTAGACTGGTGGAGGAATCCGATGAGCTATGAAGCTCTGTTTTTACAGATGTCCAGTTAGGGGCGGGTCAGAAAGTTACAGAGGTTGTGTATGTATGTTGAACTTCCTTCGCACCGTACGTAGCTAACCGTGTCTCTTCCACCTCTGACAAAAGTGCGAAGGGCTGGCGACGAATGTTCGACTGAGAGACTAATATTGGCGGGTTTTTAACTGTGCTCTCCCCATGCACCGTCTCTGGTCAGAGCGTCCGTTTTTGGAGTGCTTGCAAATGTTCATAATCACCTCATAACCTTGGTTCTTTTGGTAAAGTCACGTCGAAGGGAAATAAGAAAATATAAAAATATAAACAATAAAATTATCACGACGATTCGACTGCAACACAAGCAATCATCATCAGGTGTGAAATCCACAGCAAGAAATTTTATTATTATTTCCCTTCTACGTGACTTTACCGAAAGAACCAAGAATATGAATCCCTGCAGTTAGGAAAGCTTTAAATCAAAATTTCACCTCATAACCGTATAGATACACTCACAGGGTGTCTGTCCTGGGCTGTTTGTCAATGAGGGAAAGGCCGTAAAGTCACATTCAGTAGCTTTTAGTGATGGTTATGCACTTCGGACATTAAAACGTTTGAGAGTGCAGTCACGAGCATGTCATTTTGAGTGTCGGCAAAGTTTTAGTTGTTTTGAGTTGAGACTTTATTTCAAGGTTGGCTACGTACGGTGCAAAATACGTTCAACCGAGTAAGAAGTGCAAATAACTCATGTGCCCATTGCTTCTACACTCACCTTGCTTATGTCCTTTCCCGCCACCATCACCGATATCATCACTGCCAATACCACCGCCATCACCACCAATACTCCCACCACTCATAACACTTAACACTAACCCCACCACAAAAATTAAAGATCCCACGTGTAGCCTTAATAGACTGTAGGAGCAAGTGCTGTTAGCGAGCACCTATGAAGGCTGGCACGGCACACGAGAGGGTTGGTGACCAGCACCGTGCCCTGCCGTCTTTGTCTCCCCAGTGGCAATGTTTGCACGAGTTCCTCACTTGAGGCTGAGTCTACCTAGGGGAGGCTCAGGACCGGTTAAGATAATCGCCACTAGTGTTGGCCATGAGCGGGAATCAAACTCGTGTAGCAGGGTTTGTAGCGGAGCACACGATCTGCTGCACCACCGCTCCCCACCAACACCACCACGATCAGTACCGCAAGCACCAGTGCCAATACCCGCCATTCGCCACTAAGTGACGGTGACGTCACCACGGGGCCAACCAAGCACCACCACCGCAAACACAACCATTAAAGAGTCTACCAACTTCACTACTACGCCACCCTGACCACTACTATCACTGACACCATTAGCCTTGCCACCACTACAACTGTTGACGCCATTAATACCCAACACTAGTGCCAACCTGGTCACCACAATTTCCAACAAAACCACCACCGTGATATCCCCCGCCGATGGCACCTAAACACACCACATACAATATCAGAATCTCTATTTCGACTGGAGGAATCCTATGAGCTATGAAGCTCTTCTTGACAGATGTCCAATATGGGCAGGACAGCAGTAACCTCCCCCTTCATCCAGGTTGACTCTGTGTGCATGACTCACTATGCGTGCGCCATTGTGTAAAAATACAAAATAACGGGAAGCCCCACAGAGAAATGTGTGTGTGTATAGAAGGCAAAGACAAAGATCCCCCGTATAGCCTGAGCAGACTTTAGGGGCAAGTGCTTTTAGCGAGCACCTATGAAGGCCAGAATGGTACACGACGGGGTGGGTGGTCAGCACCACGACCGACCGCCTTTGTCTCCCTAGTGGCGATATTTACACACCGCACAAGGTACTCATTTGAGGCTGAGTCGACCTAGGGGAGGCCCAGGACCGGTTCAGATAATCGTCACCAGTGTTGGCCATGAGTGGGAATCGAACCCGGGTCGCCGGGTCCATAGCGCAACGCGCTAACCGCTACGCCTATCCCTCCCCCAATTTGTGTGTGTATATAGAAATACACACACACAAGCATGCACAGCCCCATAGAGAATTGTTGACGGTGTGGGGTGCAGTTGCGCATCTGTTTACACACTACACAGTGAGCCCAGCAAAACGGAGTTCACAAATAGAGCAACAATAAGAGTCAATGGTCTCTGAAGCCGACCTTTCAAAATGAGTACCTGCGACGGTGTGTACAATCACCGCTGGGGAGACAGAGGCAGCCTGCCATGCTACTGGCCAGACGACCCCTTAGATTACCGCGACCGCCGTGTTACCCTTCATATCTGGCGAAATGTTAACTCCCGATATGCAGGAGGTCGTCGGTTCGATCCCGACCATGACACATTTATATTTGGAGTTTGAATGTTCTCGCCCCGTGGTCGCGTGGATTTTTCTCTGGGTCCTCGGCTTTTTTTCCTCCACATTTATGAACATGCATTTGGAGTATGTGGTTGCTATAAATGTCCACGGGATAAGTCACTTCGTTGAGCTATCTTTCGTGGCCTAGGTTGCCCTAGGTTGCTTCTGAAAAATAACGATATGGCTCAGTTTAGTTTATTGTTTAGTTTAGCTGCTCACTTTAAGCACTTACCCGAACAATCGTGTTACAGGCTATATGTGTATGTTTGTGTATATATGTGTGTCGTGTCTTAATATGTGTATATGTATGCATGTGTGTGTAATTGTGTGTGTGAATATGTAAATGTGTATTTGTGGTAGCACTTGCCCCAAAAGCCTATTGGAGTCTTTACGGGGGATCTTTGTCGTGGGAGCATTGTTCGTTAGCCCACTCAAACCCAGTTACCTGAATCAAGTAAATGAGAGATTACGGTTCCACCTGAAGACGGAAGCTTGTGTTGCCTCCGAAACGTCGTGATTTTTATTTTACTTTTATTAATTTTAATTTTTTACCTACGTGACTTTACCTAAAAAAACCTAAGAATATGAATCCTTGCAGTCATGAAGGCTTCAAATCTAGAATCCAGTCACCTGAGTTGGATTTCTGTTTACAGCCACCATCAGTGGCAAATAGCTGAACCAGTCATGGGCCTCCTCTAGGTCAACTCTGCTTTAAATTAATACCTGGTGCGGTGTGTGAACATCAGCACTGGGGAGGCGAGGGCCGGGTGTGGTGCTGGCCACCCATCCCCTTCTGTGCCATGCTGGCCTTCATTGTTGCTTGTTAACAGCCCTTGCTCCAACAGTCTGTTAATGCTATACGGTGGATCTTTGTCTTTGTGTGCGTGCCACAGGCGGATGTTGAGGTGTCGAGTGTCGTGGGCGACGACTCTGACACGGAGAGCGGCGTCAGCAGCAGCGCCAAGGTGAAGTTCAATCTTCCCGAGGCACAGCCGCCCATCGAGAACCGGCAGCTCATCGTGGAGAACGCCGTGTCTGTCTAGAGCAGCGCACCGTGACGTCGCTCCCACGGCGACACCGCTCGCACCACCACATCACTCTCGCAACGTCACATCACTCACACCGCCACGTGGCTTACACTGTGACATCAATCGCACCGTCACATAGCTTATGCTGATTGTTCGTCGGTGTTCTTTATTCACTCTCGCTAATTGGTAACTCGCAACTTGCATTCACTCACGTTGGTCATGCACACCACGTATATTTGGGTACCACTCACTGGCACAAGCAGTTAACACAGAGCGCTCATTCCCGCTTACCGTGCAATCTTATTTACACCCATTCGCACACACACACCACCCATTCACAAAGCTGCCCATTCATTTGCACCGCACACTCAATCATGCACTACAAACTCGTGAACGCTGAACGCAACGCACAGGGCACGCGTAATCACACCATGAGTTCATGCGGACTGTGCCACGTGTGTGCTCGTGCGCATGCACCCACACAACCAAACCAGGTGTGTGCGTGTGCACGTGTGTCTCTGTGTTCGTGCGTGGCCTCCTTTTGGCTGCAGAGCGCACAACGCCGACTCACCGTGCTTTCAAATGAGCGCTGCGAGGGTTCCGCTTGTGTCAACCAAGGGTAAGAGGGAGGGGGGGGGGCGGTGGTGGTGGTTCAGTGACCCACGCTTGCTCCCTCCAGCCGCCTACATTAAGATTCACAAACCACTACTGAGTGCCTTCAGAGGCCCGCCATTCGCGTGCTTCATATTTCACGTCTTGTTCGTTTAGTCGACGCGTCACTTTTACATTAGTACATTGGGAGCCGCGGGTTCGATTCCTGGCCGTGATGCGCCTCAACGTCGATGGTCAATTGGCGTCCTGGCCTGGGCCTCCCCTATGTTGACCCAGCCTTTAATTGAGTACTAATGTAATTCGTGTGGTGAGCAGCAGCAGCATGGATGACGTAAGAGCAGTCGGCTGTGCGCGTCAGGCCGCTGCCTTGTGCATGCTGTGACGGCCTTAATAGGTGCTCGCTGATAACGTTTTCCCCAGCGGTCCGTAATGTCACACGGTAGGTGGGGGCGGGAGGGGGGTACGTGGTGGTGGTGAAAGGGAAAATTTCCAGTAATTACATTGGGGTGGTTGCAGCTGAATAGCGCACCGTGGGACCTTTAAATGGAGTCTGCAGGGAGCGGAGGGGTTGGGAAGGAAAAGCTCGAGACTTTATATCGGTGGGGGGGAGGGAGAGGCATTTAGAGATTATAAAATGAGTAACAGTGGGGGGGGGGAGTGTGTAATTGAGTTTGTGATGTGGGAATGGCAGGGCTTTGGTGGGAGAATCACAGTCATGCTTCTCGACAACACGGCCGCCATTATACATTCAGTGTTGGTGCGAGGTTATGATGAGATGCTTAATCATTTGGGGCTATGGCGCAATAGACTTTGTTATCCTTGAATGAGTCGTAATGTTATTACTCATCATCCCAGGTGACTTTCGGTGCGCGTGATTGGAACTAGAGTTGGGACCGCGTTTGTTTCAGGGTTGGTACCCGATACTGAATTTGTGTTTATAGGGGAAAGCGCGTGCGGGATTTTGGCCTTTTCCTTGCGGAGAGCGATGAGGCCTGACCACCTGACCCCCACTGGAGTCGAGAGCTCTAAACTCCAAACTAGATGTACAAGTTTCATATCCATCATCAGCATCGGCCATGATCTCTCTGCTGGATTAAGACCTGATCCACTCTGTCGCCATTTCTCGTCCTGCGATTCCAGTCTCGTTCTAGCACGTGGACGGAGCTGATTGATCGGTTTCTGTAGTGAGCGTCCTCCCATTTGGTCTGATGTTTTGTCGGGAGTGTCCGTCGGCCATAATCCCCCCGAGCTTCGGCGTGTCCTGCCCAAGTCCACATGCTCATCTTATCAAGTCTTGGCTCATGTCTCCAATTATCGTTCGTTCACTTGCCATTTCTTTTGAGTCGTTACGAACGCGCATCATTCCACACAACAACAAGACAAACGCCAAGCGTGTCTCCCTGCTCAAAACAAGCATTGGGCTGATGTTCATTTCCGAGGAAATTCCACATGACCATGGCAGTGGATGTTTACTGTGGAGAACAACCACTTGTTGATGTCAACAAAGTGGTACTAATTTTATTGACCTTGGAGTGATGATGGGCAGTGTGTGAATCCCGCTACGAGACTATATCACACACTCCGCATAGTTCACGTAATTGGAATTTACGCATGAGATGATCCATCGATTCATTAATATAAATTATTATGCTCATGATATGCTTCAAATTGCACGCATGAGAATTGATTGCTTATAATGGCTGCAAATTAAATGCATGAGATACCAATGTGGCATTGATGATAGTGGAGGGAACAAAACTGTACAAACGAGACCAAATGAAATGAGAAACTACAAATGTGGCGGTGAAAACTCGACCAAAAAGGAATTGGTTCTTGGGTTGTTTCGCAACCCCGAATCGTAGCAATCAAATCGCATGCGGTGGGAGGGGGTGGTGGCGGCGGGGGGGGGGGGGCTGTGGGCGGGGGGGTAAGTTGGGGTGAATCGTTCAATGCCGATTGCAATCGCCCGCTCGTGGCACCGGCCACAGTCAACCGGCGTCCTCTTCATCATTTGAGGCTCTGTTTTTGGAGCTGTAATTTATTTCTCCATCCCTAGCGGCCTCGCTTTTTTAAGCGGCAATGATAATGCCTCGCGGATGTGGGTCGGGCGAACGGGATTGCCTAGAGAATTCAAGCGGCGGGGGAGGCAAGACGCGTGATTGAGACCGGCTCGCCACCCACCTACCCAACCAAACACCCACCTACCCACACATCCATCCGTCCACCCCTCTGTCTTTGAAGGTCAATTGGAAACGCCGAGCCGTAAAGGTAATGAGCCATAGGTGGCTTTCATTAGGAGGTGAGTCGCTCTCTACTATCACCTGCACCAGTCCTAATACGTTCGTCTGCCTCGACCACCCTATTAAAATCCACAATGTCCGGCGAGGGTGTGGAAGGGTGTGTATGAAGGGAAGGCAGGTTCGTCAAACCAAAGTCCCGTCTCCTCGGTTTTTCTAATGACTAGATCAATCTAAATGTGCCACCTAATTTATATCTCTGAAGCCAAGCAGGTTTGATTGCAGTTAGTGTTTGAATGGGCGACTCCCTGGGAATACTTGATAGTAGTTCGGGCTGTGGGCTGTGAGGTGACCAGGAGATGCCAGTAGGGGATTTTGGAATATATCCGTGCAGAGATTTGAGAGAGTGTGGGGGTTGTCTTCCATTAATGCAGATTCCTCCCCGATGCCAAACGCGAAGGAATTGGCTGCCAAACTTTCCAATGCACCCTTCTGAAAATGTTGAGACCAAACCAGGCTTTCGTGGGTATTTATTATCAAACGAGAAATTGTCCAGCGCATATCACCACTGGCAACTGCTGAGCCAGTAGTGAAAATTCCATGTTCCCGTGGCGGGAACACATTTATCGAAAGCGCAAACGCAATTGGCTTCCATCAGTTGTGCACATTTCTAAAGTTTATTTCAACTCGAGGAGGGAACTGGGCAAACATTCCGAGTAGGACCTCCCCGCCCCTCGCTCTCGCCCTAAACTTTAGCCTCAGACAAGGCACCGTGAGGGTTTTCTGAGTTTTGAATCCAGTGCTCGGGAGGCGAAGTTGGTGGATCGAGCAGAGATCGGTGCGCCGATGGCCGTGAAGTGGGGATTTATTCGTGGGTTTGTTGTATTGACGCGTCCGTATAAATATTGGACCCTGTTGAAAAAAGGTCGTCTTGAGACTCAGGAGGCCCCCGTCCTGGGTTTAAATGACCACATCAGCTCAGGTTTGACAGCAGGACCAGCTAGCTGCTGGACTGGAGAGGTATATCGACTTATGATTATTATGATAACTATTATTTCGTCCTTCCTGTGGGACCGAACTGTGACTGTCGACATTCCCAGATCACAGCGATCAGCTGGGTTTTTATAGAATCATTTCGTACGCGGGGGTGAACCAGGGTTTGTTAATGTGCGAGTGTTGATAAAATAAGTAAATTAAAAAGTCCATCATTGACGCTGCCTTATAACAGAAATTTGTATAGTCGGCTGACGTTTGCAGATGAGTAAACATCAAGAGAGCAGAGGAAACGGCTGACGATGTAGTTGCGTATTTCTCTCCATGGCGATGTCCTGAGTCAAGTGGGAACGGTTTTCTGTGCTAATGAGGCAGCGTTAATGACGAGCGCAAGTGAGGGGTCTGCAATGTGTGCACGTTTCGCGGCCCCAGTCCCGTAATGTTGCGTGCAAAGTGTTGATCGCGCCTTGGCAATGCTCTGGCGTAAATGCTTTAGTTGGCACCCATTGAGTTGTCGCTGGGAGCTTAAGCAAGAGGGGCCAATTTTCAGAACCAAAGATAGGTGCTTAGACGAATTTCCTTAATGGCCACGTTTTATTTGTTTCTGTGTTTATGTAACGTGTACGCATGTCTGTGCGTGGGGAGTGGTGGCGCAGCGGTTAGAGCACTGTTGCGAGCCTGGCGACGTTTAATTTTGATTTCTGGCCGCGAACGCCTGGTGGTGTTTCCACATTTCCAAGGCATCCCCTAGGTTGACTCGGCCTTAAATGAGCACCTGTTTCTCGTGTTCAAACATCAGCACTGGGGGATGGCTTTTCCGGCCACACCAGTTTGTTTCGGGCCATTTCAGCCTGAGCAGGTGCTCGCTCATCGCATTTGCCTCGACGGTCAACAATGCACGTCACCTCGCCGACGCCCGATGTGTTTGTGTTATTGTTCATGCGGTGGTCACCGACACGCTCCGACTGACCACCGTTGAACTCCGTCATGTGCGCGGGGCGCTGAGATTGACGCGGCCGGAAATGAGTCGGCTTTGCTTTGTTTGTGTTGATTAGCATCGGCAGGAGAGGGACAAAGGCGGTCGGGGCTTGATCGGTTTCGAGCCCGCTCGTCGCACGGATGCCGTGGTGGCCTTAATAGGTGCTCGCAAACAGCGCCTGCTCCCCTACCGCTGTTTTGATGCACAGGTCCGCGTGGTAAATGGGAGATCTCAGTTTTATAGGAGCACGTGTGTGCTCTTGAGTTTTTAAACGAGACACTGGAGTAGATTTTTTTGCAGGGCTAAGACGTTGTGTGAGAAGAAGAAAACAGCTAAAGCTGTTTTTTTTAAATATAATAATTTGTGAGTTTCAGGAGGTTGCCAGGTTAGGGGGTAGGGGGCTTGGAGCCAATATTCGAGCGGAGATTGTGAGCGCGGCTGGAGGTTCAAGCTCTCGCTCTCTCACACACTGGCCGGCGGGGAGATCGCAATGTGTAAATCGTTTGAGTGGAAATAAAAAAATATATACCGGAAGTGTCCGTGATCCTCCCCCCGTCTGTGTTCTTTCACGGTCGCGAATTAGTTTTTTTTTTACATTCGCCACTTGACTGCCCCGTTGCTGCTTCCGCACACCTCGACTGAGATGACGAACGAGATGAGGAAACGTCATTAATGAGAAGGTGGGGGGGGGGGTGCTTTTGTTGGAAGTGATTGGATTGGGTTTTTTTCTGCCTCGAGTATCCGGTGCGGTGCGTTCATAGCAACACCGAGGATACGAGCGGACGTGGCGATGACCACCACCACCACCTCCTCTTCGTGTGCCATTCCGGCCTCATTGGTTTCTCCAAAGCAAAAGGCGGTGCCTACGGTATGATTTGTATTTGTGTAGTTTCATGAGTAGACAAATGCGCATGTACCACGTGTCGTGATCGAACATTAATTCACTGCTGGATGAAAGCCGCCTCGTCATCATCCTTCGCAAGTCCTCTGATGCCACGTGGGCTGATCTCGTTTCTCCCAACAGCAGGGCGCGGTATCTCATTTGCCATTCCGTCGCCACTCCATGCGAGCGGTGTGCACGTGGTATGTACATTGTATGTGTGTACCTGTGTGTGTGTGTGGGGAGCTGTGGCGTGTTGGTTAGCGCACTGCGCTACGAACCCGGCGACCCGAGATCGATTCCCCCTCACGGACAACGCCAGTGACGATTATCTGAACCGGTGCTGGGCCTCCCCTAGGTCGACTCGGCCTCAAATGAGTACCCGGTACGGTGTGTAAACATCGCCACTCGGGAGACAAATTGCGATCGGGCGTGGTGCTGGCCACCCAACCCCCAGGACCTAGGTGCTTGCCCCTAAAAGTGTGTTCACGTTATATGGATGGGGGGAGTCTTTGTCTTTTTGCAAATATTCGTGTGTATGTTATATCGTTCATGCACAGTATGCGACGACTTGGGGTGGTGACACGCGATTTCTGCAGAGGGCCACGGTTCGAAACCCATCAGCCGCCCTGATTAATACTGCGCTGGGTGGATATTTACCATAAAATACGACGCGTCACAAGGTTCACAGTGGACGTTAAAGATCCAGGGAGGTCATTAGGAAGAATAGGCCAAAGTGTACCGTCATCAAAGTTTCAACCTTGCCAAATATTAAATAATTACACTGCAAACTACTCGATTTTAATATGCAACAACGTGGCAAGACCTTCCATAAAAAGACAAGCATAACGAGTTTCCCTGTATGCAAAAGGTACGTGTTTCTTTAACGTGTATATATTGCTATGTATCTCTGAATATATGCATATCCACGGTGTTTGTATTGTGTGGCATGACTGAGTGTATATTTCGATTTAAAGCTTTCGTGACTGCAGGGATTCCTCTACTTGGTTCTTTCGGTAAAGTCACGTGACTTTACCGAAAGAACCAAGAAGATGAGTGTATATTTTTAATGTGTATTTGTTTGTGTACATTGTGTGTTGGTATCTTTGCATGCGTGTGTATGTTGTGTTCTATACATTGTGTGTTGTGTGTAGTCTGTGCGTTGTGTGTACATTGTGTGATGATCATGATGGAGCGGTCAGCGCGCTGCGCTACGAACCTGGCGAACCGGGTTCGATTCCCGCTCACGGCCAACACCATCAGTGGCGATTATCCAAACCGGTCCTGAGACTCCCCTAGGTCGACTCAGCCTCAAATGAGTACCTGGTGCGGTGTAAACATCGCCACTGGGGATACAAAGGCGGTCGGGCAGTGGTGCTGGCCACCCACCCCCTCGTGTACCGTGCCGGCCTTCATAGGTGCTCGCTAACAGCACTTGCCCCAACAGTCTGTTAAGGCTACACGGGGGATCTTTGTTTCTTTGATGATGCAGCGGGCGTTAGGCAGGGGGCGGCACGCGGGGAAACGGGCCTTTTAAATCACGTGACGAGGGCAGCGGGGGTACAGCAGCAGCACGTGGTCAGGGTTCCCGCCCGCGGGGAGGAGACCACCGAGGGGGACACGGCGAGTGGAGGGGGACACAGGGAGGGAGACACAGAGAGAGAGAGACACAGGGAGTGAGACACGTGGAGGGGTACACGGGGAGTGAGACACGGGGAGTGGAGGGAGACACGGGGAGGGAGACACGTGGAGGGGTACACGGGTAGGGAGACAGGGGGAGTGAGACACGGGGAGGGAGACACGGGGAGGGAGACACGGGGAGGGAGACACGTGGAAGGAGACACGGGGAGGGAGACACGGGGGGGGAGACAGGGGGAGTGGAGGGAGACACGGGAGGGAGACACGTGGAGGGAGACACGGGGAGGGAGACAGGGGGAGTGGAGGGAGACACGGGGAGGGAGACAGGGGGAGTGGAGGGAGACACGGAGAGGGAGACACGTGGAGGGAGACACGGGGAGGGAGACAGGGGGAGTGGAGGGAGACACGGGGAGGGAGACAGGGGGAGTGGAGGGAGACACGGAGGGAGACACGGAGGGGGACACGGGGAGGGATACAGGGGGAGTGGAGGGAGACACGGAGGGAGAGAAGGAGGGAGACACGTTGGGAGACAGAAGGGAGAGAGAAACACAGAAGGGAGTGACAAGCACAGAGCCAGAGCGAGAGGGAGACCACAGAAGGGAGGGAGAGAGTCGCAGGGAAGAGAGGAAGACTGGAGGAGGGAGACAGGGGAGGGGGGAGGCACTGGAGGGCCAGTGGGAGGGAGACAGAGAGGGGTGGGAGGGAGAGGGAGAGAGAGATACAGAGGGGAGGAGTGAGGGAGAGACAGAGTCGCGCTCACTCTCACTCAAGGGGGGGGGGGGGGGTCAGTGCTGAGACTCGCTGCCTCTGGAGACGACGCTGCTGCTGCTGCTGGTGGGGGGAGTGGGAGAAGCGGCGGATAGCTCCGCGCGCCAACGCTGAAGCCACTACGACTGCCGCCGTCGCCGTGCGCTCAAGTGGCGAGGAGGAGGAGGAGGTGGTGGTGGTGGTTCGTGTCGGGATGGGCGGCACAGGCAGCTCGGAGCCTCCTGTCGGCGGCAAAGGGGCCTCCGGGGGCGGTGAGTGACACCTCTGGGCTTGCGCTGGAGTGCTGCTGGTGGTGCCTGCTGGTGGTGGTTGGTGGTGCTGGTGGTTGTGGATGGGAGTGGCTAGAGAGTCGAGAGGCGTGCGGAGGGAATTGTCTCAAGACGCGGGGCTGTTTGTAGAGACGCGGAGACACTAACGCGAGGAAGCTCCGGTGACACGAGGAGACCGCGGAGACACGGGGAGACACGTGGAGACACGGGGAAATCTGTCGGAATTCGCCACTGAGACGGGGACTCGTTGCTGTACCCACGGCCGCCGCGCATCGGAGTCGAACCGGGAACTTTCGCTCCGTCTCTCTGTCTCGATAATATCAACCAACGGGACCACAACTACAGTCGCGACAGCAGCAGTCATCGTTTATATATAAAACAAAGCACCATCATCATCAACAGCAGAATAACAACAACAACCATCATCATCATCAGTGTCGGCAGCAGCAGCAGCAACAGCAGCCGTATCAATATCAACAACAGCGGTAACAACATCACCATCAAATTCATAAGCAGCATCTGCAGCATTCTCAGACCAGGTCACTATCACCACCACCACCATCAGCACCACCATCAGCACCACCACCATCAGCAGCACCACCACCATCACCACCACCATCACCAGCACCATCATCATCATCACCACCATCAGCAGTAGCAGCATCACCACCACCACCAGCACCACCACCACCATCAGCAGCAGCAACAGCCCCGTCCGCGCCACCAGCGATGCGCCCGCTCAACACGTGCGCCGCGAGACAGCCGCGCCGCGGACTCGACACCTGAAATCCGTGGTAGTCCCCCCACCACCCCCACCACCCCACCACCCCCCACGCTGTGCCATGCCGGTCCCACACCGCGACTACGAGAGGCGCGGCTCAGGGAGCCCGGCTGCCGCGGGCCGCGTCGGATTCCGGGCAGCCCTGGTCGAGAAGGACGGTGGAGGTGGAGGAAGAGGTGGTGGTGGTGATGGAGGAGGAGGAGTAGGCGACGGGGTCGGAGGAGGAGGTGGTGGGAGCTTCGGCCGCGACGACGTTGACTCTCTGCTGGGGCTGCAGTCGTCCGGGGGTCCCGGGGGGGGTCCTGGGGGAGCCGCGGGGGCTCCGGGGCTCCAAGGGGACCCCTTGTCGGGGATGGCGATGCGCGTGCGAAGCGGGAGGCACCAGCCGCGTCGTGCCCCGGGCTACCGGCGTCTGCAGAACGTGCTCTACAACCTGCTGGAGAGACCCCGCGGGTGGGCCTTCATCTACCACGCCTGCGTGTGAGTACGGCAGCAGCAATGAGTGCATCATCATTAACAGCAGCAGTAGTGAGTGCAGCAGCAGCAGCAGTGAGTGCAGCAGCAGTAGTGAGTGCAGCAGTAGTGAGTGCAGCAGCAGTAGTGAGTGCAGCAGCAGTAGTGAGTGTAGCAGCAGTAGTGCAGCAGCAGCAGTAGTGAGTCCAGCAGCAGCAGTAGTGAGTGCAGCAGCAGCAGTAGTGAGTGCATCATCATCAGCAGTAGTGAGTACAGCAGCAGCAGCAGTAGTGAGTGCAGCAGCAGTAGTGAGTGCAGCAGCAGTAGTGAGTGCAGCAGCAGTAGTGAGTGTAGCAGCAGTAGTGAGTGCAGCAGCAGTAGTGAGTGCAGCAGCAGCAGTAGTGAGTGCAGCAGTAGTGAGTGCAGCAGCAGCAGTAGTGAGTCCAGCAGCAGCAGTAGTGAGTGCAGCAGCAGTAGTGAGTGCAGCAGCAGCAGTAGTGAGTGCATCATCATCAGCAGTAGTGAGTACAGCAGCAGCAGCAGTAGTGAGTGCAGCAGCAGCAGTAGTAGTGAGTGCAGCAGCAGCAGTAGTAGTGAGTGCAGCAGCAGCAGCAGTAGTGAGTGCAGCAGCAGTAGTGAGTGCAGCAGCAGCAGTAGTGAGTGCAGCAGCAGCAGTAGTGAGTGCAGCAGCAGCAGTGAGTGCAGCAGCAGCAGTGAGTGCAGCAGCAGTAGTGATTTCAGCAGCAGTAGTGAGTGCAGCAGCAGTGAGTGCAACAGCAGCAGTAGTGAGTGCAGCAGCAGTAGTGAGTGCAGCAGCAGCAATAGTGAGTGCAGCAGCAGCAGTAGTGAGTGCAGCAGTAGTAGTGAGTGCAGCAGTAGTGCAGCAGCAACAGTAGTGAGTGCAGCAGCAGCAGTAGTGAGTCCAGCAGCAGCAGTAGTGAGTGCAGCAGCAGCAGTAGTGAGTGCATCATCATCAGCAGTAGTGAGTACAGCAGCAGCAGCAGTAGTGAGTGCAGCAGCAGCAGTAGTAGTGAGTGCAGCAGCAGCAGTAGTAGTGAGTGCAGCAGCAGTAGTAGTGAGTGCAGCAGCAGTAGTAGTGAGTGCAGCAGCAGTAGTGAGTGCAGCAGCAGCAGTAGTGAGTGCAGCAGCAGCAGTAGTGAGTGCAGCAGCAGCAGCAGTGAGTGCAGCAGCAGCAGCAGTGAGTGCAGCAGCAGCAGTGAGTGCAGCAGCAGCAGTGAGTGCAGCAGCAGCAGTGATTGCAGCAGCAGCAGTAGTAGTGAGTGCAGCAGCAGTAGTGAGTGCAGCAGCAGTGAGTGCAGCAGTAGCAGTAGTGAGTGCAGCAGCAGCAGCAGTGAGTGCAACAGCAGCAGTAGTGAGTGCAGCAGCAGTAGTGAGTGCAGCAGCAGCAGTAGTGAGTGCAGCAGCAGTAGTGAGTGCAGCAGCAGCAATAGTGAGTGCAGCAGCAGCAGTAGTGAGTGCAGCAGTAGTAGTGAGTGCAGCAGCAGCAGTAGTGCAGCAGCAGCAGTAGTGAGTGCAGCAGCAGCAGTGAGTGCAGCAGTAGTAGTGAGTGAGTGGAGCAGCAGCAGCAGTAGTGAGTGCAGCAGCAGCAGTAGTGAGTGCAGAGGACGAGGTGGGTCAACTTCTATGCAGCAGGGAAAACAAATAGAGTGCAGCAGCGTGTGCAGGAAGCGGGTAACTTTGTGGGTGAAATTCCGTGCAGCAGTGAGTCGAGATTGCAGGAGGTGCAACGGAGTAGGATGTGCAGTATTGAGTAGGGGGTGCAGAGGTTGCAGCAGTAAGTAGAGAATGCAGCGGGGATTGGGAGGGGGGGTTAAGGGCATGCAGCAGTGCAATGCAGAGGGTGCATCATGGTGAGAGTGTAGCAGGGAGTGGATAGTGCAGGGTGTGGAGAGTTGGGGTAGACCACAGTCATTGTGCACTCCCACGGCATGACCACGCTGCGGTGAGTGGGGGTGAGCTCTGATTCAACACTTGGACTCTCACTCACCCACCCACTCACCCACTCACTCATTCAACCACTCACTCACTCACCCACCCACTCATCCACTTACTCACCCACTCACCCACTCACTCACCCACCCACTCATCCACTCACTCACCCACCCACTCACTCACCCACTCACTCACCCACTCACTCACCCACTCACCCACTCACTCACTCACCCACTCACTCACTCACCCACTCACTCGCCCACTCTCTCACCCACTCGCTCACCCACTCACTCACCCACTCACCAACATGCGAAGGAATACATCGTGATGTTCTACATGTCCAGGGATGTCCAGATTTCTCGCGACCCCCATTGAATATTCTAAAACTTGATTTTTGCTGAAGTAAGGTTCATTTAAAACAGAAATGAATATGCAAAGAAAACCACATTTTAAGGGGTCAATTAATTGGGGGGGGGGTCACAAGACATCTGGACCATCCTGTAGATTACATCCACGGGAGAGCTTTTACGTCGTGTGCGCGCGTGTCCGTCTGGAGCGTGCTGCTCGAGATGTCCCTCTAGCCAGACGTGTAAAAAAACAACGTCGGGTTGCAACTTGGAATCACGATAGCAAGAGGTGCCCCACATTTAGTCGAGTCACGGCCAATTCCCGTTACGGAGGCGGCAGTTTTTAGAGCGACTCGGGAGGAGAGAATTCAAGAGTTGAGGGTTCGAGAGGAATTCTCAAATCTGTAACGGGGGGAGAAGGGGACACGGGGAAATGCAAGCGATGGGCTTTGCTCAAAATTGCCCTTGGGGAGCGCCGGACTGCATCGCTTCCGCGGCTGTCTGATCAGTTTGCTTTCTGCCATCAATTCACCACTGATGGTAAATTGGCGAGAGGGAGAGAGGTGGGGAGAGGAGGAAGAGGGAGCTGGGATGAGATGGAGAGAGGGGAAGGATTGTTAGAGATGGGGGAAGAGAAGATGAGAGACATAGAGAGAGAGAGAGAGGGGCAGTGTTTGTTGGGAGGGTGACTTTGAAAGAGTCAACTGATTAGAGATGATAGAAGGCTTAAGAAGTAATGTAACATATTATCGTCCCATACTTGGTATTTTCAAAGCAATGTAATCAAAGTCACTTGATGACTTTAGTAACTCAGCGCGTTTGTCAATAGCACTTTGGCCCTAGAAGGGGTAAATATATGACAGGTGACATTTTGGGCAAGGGCCTGTCTTCACAACAGACGGATGGAGGAGGTTATGCGGCTGAAATGTCACCGATTACATGCGCTCCCTTTTAGAGCTGCGTTATTGACGAGCGTGTTGGGTATTTGTTATGTGTGCACCGTTACCCACCCGGCGCGAGATCAATGGTTTTGATTTTTATGATTAGTTCAAATTAAGCACACGTCTGGGTGACGCAACCTCAGAATAACGCCACCGAGCTGTGGCTGTAAAGCTGTGGATCGTGACCCGTGTGCCAATGATTTCGTTCTAAATTATCCACCCACAAAAGGCTCGTATAAGACGTGCGGGAAGGGGTCCCGGTATTGTCATGTTGGAGACTCCCAGAAGAAAATAAAAACACAATCCCCACACACTCGGGGGAGAAACCCACACTGACAAAAAAAACCCACCGACCTTGTAGCCCAGCCCATGTGATCAAGTATTGACCAGGCTCAGACCTGCTTTGCTTCTGAGATCGGGCGCATCCGGGCCGGTTTGGTCACACGGGGGGATGACCCTCGTGTGGAGCCCAGGTTGCTGCTGGGGGGGGACCGTCCATCGATTGCTCCTCTGAAATTGTTTTTTGTTTGTTTTGCAATCGTTGTCACATTCATAAAGCTGCGATCCTGCAGAGCAGTCTGCCGCTACCCGCTGAGTAAGCGGCAATCGTCGCGAGCGATTTATTCGGGTGAATAACGTTCATCCCACCATTGTCACTCCACTGCTGGATGAAAGTCTCCATCCCCATACCGCTTAATCATACTTCACCACGGCCGGTCATTGCGAGTTGCTAAGAGAGCCGTCCATGGACTGCTTCAGATATCTAACTCGCCACTGATGTTAGCCCTGAGCAGGAATCGAATGCAGGGCTCTGGATTCACAGGGAAGTGCGCTAACCACTGCGCCACTGCCTCGTTCACCCTCATCCATATTTGTTTGTTTGTATTATTTATTTGTTACGAGCTCATGAATGTCGGCGTTTGTGAAGGAGGGACGTGGTTACTCCGGGGGTGCGATCGTTGACTGCGTGTGCGCGCATCCCTGACACGCGTGTGTGTGCGCATCCCTGCGTCTGGGACCATTCCCTGTTCTCGCAGTTCACGGATTCGTCGTGACTTTGGGGGTCACGGTTCCATTCGGAAGCAATTCTTGCCATTACTATTCTTATTTCATCATCATCATTTTACTATTGTTGTGTAACATTGCGGTGAGCGTGGCGGCCCCTGTTGGCCGGCGAGGTGCCGTGACAGCGATCGCGACGACACGTCATCGTGAGCCGTGCTCTGTCCACTGCTGGATACGACCTCTTCCCCCCCCCCCCGTCGCCCGCTGTCATCGTCCCTCGAGGTGCTGCGATTCCGCATTGCGTCTCGCTCCTGGGCGCGAGCGGATCTCATCGCTCCATCTCCACAGCGGGCGTCCTCTCTGGAGTGTTCTCTCCCTTGGCTGCCGCCACTCCGTCGCCAGTCTCGTCCGTCGATCTCCGCCACTTGCTTCGGCGCTCCGCCCAAACCCCGATGACTTTCCTTAACCGTCAACACGACGCCTTTGGCTTGTGGTCCTTCTCTGATCCATGTGCTACTCTTTCTGTTTCGTTGTGTAATTCAAAGCATTTGTGTTAATGATGAAGTCCATAATGATAATGTTGATAGTTGGAAAGTCACAAATGGTAGAAAGGTGGCACAGTAGCACGTGACAGATTCAGGGCCCTAATACTCGTGGATTAAATGGACGCGGATCTCCATAAAAAAAGAAAATGTATCCCGGGAATTAAGCCACACTTTTCAAATGCAAAGGTGGAAGTTCGCGGACCAGTTCACTGAATGTTTGTACGTGAATGAAGTCC